ATTAAATGACATTCTTCTTCACAATCATTTATAAAATGTGCTAGACGCGATTTCATCCAACCAATCCATTCATCAAGTTCAGAAATATTTTCACTTGAAAGTGTTAATTGAAGAAGTGATTTTGTTTTTTCATTTGGAAAATCATTATTTAATTCAAGAATTTGTTTAAGTGCATTTGATTTATCTTCACAAGTTATTGTATTTATTTTATTAAGTAATTGTAAAACACGTTGAAAACCTTGAATAATTAAATCACGTGTAGAATTTATTGTTGAACGTCCTGCATTATTATATGGTGGACTTGGTGATATTATACGCATTGAACCACGATTATATACTGATGTTTTTTCTGAAAAAGTGATTTGCTTATATGATTTTGGATAAAGTCGAAGTGCTTCTGATGACCAATTAAATTGTGCAAAAGTTGAAAAAAATTGTTGAACTAATGAAAAAAATTCTTCAATAGAAAAATGTTCGATTGATGAAAGAGATTTAATTGGTGATAAATATCTACGACAAATATATGCACATAATATAGCCCAAGAATAACCACTTAAATAACCATAGACTTGTCCATAAAGGCCAACATGTTGAGCCCAAGTACGAATAAATGTTAGAAGATGTTGAAAAATAGGTGGATAACGAACGTATATCAATAGACGTTCAATTTCATGTACCTAAAAAGAAAAATGTTTTTAGAAACGAAATGAACAACGGAAAAATTATAGTGATTTTTTTTTTCATTTGTCTTACTCCATGTATAGATTCTTGAGAATTGAAATCATTTGAAGATTTTTGTTCATAAGATTGTTCTTTATTTATTTGAATTTGTACAAATATTTCAACTTTTGTTTGATCATTAAATAGAATCGATATTATTGGAAATAATGCTTGAATTTTTCGATAATAAATTATTTCATCTTTCAAATTTCCTTCGATTTGTCTTTCAAGTAAATTAATAATATAATTATTTAATTCATTTGTATCATATTTTAATTGATGAAGTGTTTCATCAAATGATGTT